GGTTTTTGGTTTGGCTGGAGGACTCTAGGATTTTGAAACCTGTTTTAAGGAGGTTGTTTAGTTGTTGCAGGCCAGGGTGGTAAGTGGTTATCAAATTTACTTGAAGATGGTTGGTATTTTTCTTTGTAGTTGGACGTGGGTTCTGAGCCGCTTGGATCTGAGATTTTACGAGAGTGCTAGGATAGCCTCGGTTTTCGAAGGCTTTTTGAAGTTGGGTTTGGTATTGTGTACGGTCTTTCGGTTCTGAAATTAGGCGATTTCCCCTTAGGGCAAGACTGTAAGGAAGTGATCTCTTGGTGTTATTCGGATGACAACTAGAAAAATGGAGGTATTGTTGGTGGTTGGTCGGTTTTATGTGGATAGATGTGGTGAGGCTATTGTTCCTTAGATGAATTGTAAGGTCTAAAAAGTTGATGGAAGTCTCAGAGAAATCCCAGGTGAAATTTAGCGGTCCAAAACTGTTGAGGTCTTCCAGGAACTTCCGTAGTGATTCTTCACCGTGGGTCCAAATTATGAAAATATCGTCAATATATCTAAACCAGCAGATGGGGAGGTGTTCACGGCTAGACAAAAACTTTTCTTCATAATTCCCCATGTAGAGATTAGCATAAGATGGGGCCATTCTTGTACCCATGGCAGTGCCCTTGATCTGTAGGAAGTGTTTGTCCTGAAATTGGAAATAGTTCTTTTCCAGAATGAATTTTATCAGTTGAGTTATAAACGAAGTGGTGGGTAGGGATCCTTTGGGTCTGTTTTGAAGGTAGTTTTCTGTTGCTGTTAGGCCGTGGACATGAGGTATGTTTGTGTAGAGTGAGGTGACATCAATAGTGGCCATGAGAGTGTTAGCGGGGAGTGGTTGTCTGACATTGTTAAGTTTTTGCAAAAAATCATTGGAGTCCTTGATATATGAGGCCAAGTTTTGTACTAGCGGTTGTAGATAGGCGTCTACGTATGAAGAGATACGTTCCGTTAAAGAACCGCAGCCTGATACTATGGGCCTTCCTGGCGGTGGTGTTATGCCTTTGTGGATTTTTGGTAATATGTAGATTTTAGGGCAGATGGGTTCTTCTGGTATTAACAGATTTGTTGTTTCTGGGGAGATATTGTTGGATTTGGAGTGTTTGTAAATTATTTCCTTGAGTTCAGCGGTGTACTTTATAGTTGGATCTTCTTTCAGAGGGAGGTAGGTGGAAGAATCACTGAGCTGGCGTTGGATTTCTGACACATAATCAGATTTATTCATTATCACTGTGGTCGAGCCTTTGTCAGCTGGAAGGATCATGATATCAGTATTTGATTTTAAAGTTGAAATGGCTTTTTTCTCGGCTTCGGTGAGGTTATGGAGTGTTGTAGAGGTTACGTTGTTTTCGAAAGTGGGATCTGAGATGTTTTGTACCAAGAAGTTGATGTATTGTTCTATCGGATGGTCTGCTGGTAACGGAGGGGGATCGAAGTCCGTTACCAGCAGACCATCCGATAGAACAATACATCAACTTCTTGGTACAAAACATCTCAGATCCCACTTTCGAAAACAACGTAACCTCTACAACACTCCATAACCTCACCGAAGCCGAGAAAAAAGCCATTTCAACTTTAAAATCAAATACTGATATCATGATCCTTCCAGCTGACAAAGGCTCGACCACAGTGATAATGAATAAATCTGATTATGTGTCAGAAATCCAACGCCAGCTCAGTGATTCTTCCACCTACCTCCCTCTGAAAGAAGATCCAACTATAAAGTACACCGCTGAACTCAAGGAAATAATTTACAAACACTCCAAATCCAACAATATCTCCCCAGAAACAACAAATCTGTTAATACCAGAAGAACCCATCTGCCCTAAAATCTACATATTACCAAAAATCCACAAAGGCATAACACCACCGCCAGGAAGGCCCATAGTATCAGGCTGCGGTTCTTTAACGGAACGTATCTCTTCATACGTAGACGCCTATCTACAACCGCTAGTACAAAACTTGGCCTCATATATCAAGGACTCCAATGATTTTTTGCAAAAACTTAACAATGTCAGACAACCACTCCCCGCTAACACTCTCATGGCCACTATTGATGTCACCTCACTCTACACAAACATACCTCATGTCCACGGCCTAACAGCAACAGAAAACTACCTTCAAAACAGACCCAAAGGATCCCTACCCACCACTTCGTTTATAACTCAACTGATAAAATTCATTCTGGAAAAGAACTATTTCCAATTTCAGGACAAACACTTCCTACAGATCAAGGGCACTGCCATGGGTACAAGAATGGCCCCATCTTATGCTAATCTCTACATGGGGAATTATGAAGAAAAGTTTTTGTCTAGCCGTGAACACCTCCCCATCTGCTGGTTTAGATATATTGACGATATTTTCATAATTTGGACCCACGGTGAAGAATCACTACGGAAGTTCCTGGAAGACCTCAACAGTTTTGGACCGCTAAATTTCACCTGGGATTTCTCTGAGACTTCCATCAACTTTTTAGACCTTACAATTCATCTAAGGAACAATAGCCTCACCACATCTATCCACATAAAACCGACCAACCACCAACAATACCTCCATTTTTCTAGTTGTCATCCGAATAACACCAAGAGATCACTTCCTTACAGTCTTGCCCTAAGGGGAAATCGCCTAATTTCAGAACCGAAAGACCGTACACAATACCAAACCCAACTTCAAAAAGCCTTCGAAAACCGAGGCTATCCTAGCACTCTCGTAAAATCTCAGATCCAAGCGGCTCAGAACCCACGTCCAACTACAAAGAAAAATACCAACCATCTTCAAGTAAATTTGATAACCACTTACCACCCTGGCCTGCAACAACTAAACAACCTCCTTAAAACAGGTTTCAAAATCCTAGAGTCCTCCAGCCAAACCAAAAACCTCCTTTCAAGAGCCCCTTCCATAATCTATAGGCAACCCCCAAATTTGAGGAATATGCTAGTCCACCCAAAACTCCCAAATCCATCAAAAATACCATCTGAGAAACCAAGACCGGGCTCATACCCATGCAATGAAAACCGATGTAAATCTTGCCAGATACACCATCCTACAGAAACTTTTACCAGCACATACCATAATAAAAATTACAGAATCCAAGGCCATCATACCTGCAGCTCAGAGAACCTTATCTACCAGCTTCAATGTTCACATTGTCCAGCCCAGTACATAGGCCTAACAACCGAGACTCTCCGAAAACGCATGAACGGCCATCGACATGATGTTAAAACTAGCAAAGAAAAACCAGTTGCACAACATGCCTTATCCCACCAACTTCTATTTGATGACTGTTTCACCATAAAAGCTCTAAAATCATTGCCAAAGAACCAATGCAATAGTTCAATGCTCAGAAGATGGGAATTAGCTTACCAGTTTGTGACCAACTCCAGAACCCCACCTAACCTCAACATTAGATAATATCCTCATATCCTCACCCTCACAGCTAACTCTTAAGTATTTATTTTCATGGACAAAACTAATTTGCTTTTCAATGTACATATTATATGTAAATACAATATTGCAATGTGCCTGTATTTAGTGCTTTGTGCAGTGTCAGTTGGACAACCTGTCAGACATTTTGAATTCAAACTGTGTCATCCTATTTAAACTGTTGTTTTGTAACTACCATCTAGGCCTACTTCTGAAGAAGCCTCTGAAAGAGGCGAAATATTAAGTAAATTATGTGTGTGATTTTATGTGTTCTTTGACTCATCTGCAACCTTTCATCAGGTGAGTTAGCTGTGTCCTCTCCATCCTATATTTATTTATTTAAATAGACCTACAGAAAGCTTTACTGTGCGTAGCAGCCATAACGACAAGAGGTCCCATTTCTAATATTCACTTTATGAACAAACTTTAGTCCAAAAAATTAGGGATGGACGGGTCCCGAAATTTTGGGAATTTTTCGGAAAAAAAATATTCCCGATTATCGGGACAGGATTAAATTTGTTTTGGGAATTTTTCGGGACGGGATTTGGTCCGAACGTCGGCGATTTTGCCGCTTCGAGAGTAACGATGACGCCGCTGTTGCGAGAGATGTTCACGATAGGTCCGCAAACGCAGGAGACGAAGTCATTTCGACGATCCCGCCGAGACCGCGAGTCATACCAACGTTCACGCCGTGACCGCGGAGTCATACCGACGATCATGCCGTGACTGCGGATTCATACCGACGATCACCCCGTGACCGCGGTCATTTTGACGATCGCGCCGTGACCGTGAGTCACAAGTTTCTATGTTACCCATTTTTTTGTTTTTATAGATCAGCGCCACAAATGGTAAAAATTGATTTCCTATGTCTTTTTTGGTAACTGCAATACTCAAGACTTTCTTCTTATGCACAGAAAAAAAATCCCGTCCCGTCCCGTCCCAAAAATTGGGAAGGAAATAAAAATCCCGTCCCGAACTAAAAATTTAATCCCGTCTATCCCTACAAAAAATTAATTGTCCTGCATTCTAGAGGAAATTTAAAGAACTACGACAAAGTTCAGTGTACGGAGAACAAAATATCTAACAAATTTTGTGGTCCCGACAAGAGGTACCTTTTCTTATTTTATGGAGAAATAACATAGGGCCGACAAGAAATGCGATTTTTACGACATGCTTCAATGAAACAGTTATTTAAATAAAAACCACCAGGAGTTAATACAAAAATTGGTTTAGCATCCAAAGAGGACATTGTAAGCTTTCTTTTGATACCAAAATCTTTTCTTAAATATGAAAATAACTGTATTTATGTATTTGAAATTTTCAACATATTTTTTTTTTAAATTACCCTTTTCCATAACAAAATTTCAAAGTCCTATAAAAAAGCGTAGATGCATGGGACTTCCACCAAGTGATTCGGAATTTAATGAGGAATTTGAATATAATATATAACTCAAAATCGAAAATTCCCGACAAGAGGTCCCTATTCGCTTTCCACATCACAAATAAAGATCTACAGTATTTATAAAAGTGGTTTAACACACACTTGTGATTGTACTTACTTGACCGAATGTGCCTCTACCCAGGAACTCGAGGACCTCATACTGTGTAGTCATGGAGTAGAGCACCTCGTGTTGGACCAGCTGGTAGTCTCCGTCCGAGGCCTGGGGGTGGGAGGAGGGGGGCGCCCCCCCACCCTTACTGTGAGCCGTCGTCTTGCTGTGTGTGCCCCCTCCCTCTGGCTCATTCCCCTCACACGACTTGCGCTGCAAACACACAAACAATAGTTTACATAGTCCACAGGTTTACTACAGATTTTTGTCCAGAGAAGTTCTGTTATGGTATGAGTCACACGGGAAAGCTAGTTGTGACTGCAGTGATAAGACAGTGCAGGCAACCACTATTGAACCAACCAAGTCTAGCTTATCAGCCTAAGACTACCACTGAGCTAAAGTACCGTTTTAATCAAATAACACTGTAATGTTGTCCTATTAAAGTAGGTCTAGATTCGCTCTCATTTTTGCATCGTGACTGTGAAGATTAAAATATTTTTATATTGGACTTCTACTAAAAAAATTTAACATTTCAGAATTACTCCCTATTTAAATAACTAAGATTTGTTTCTACAGGGAGGATAAAAATGTGTGTTTTTAGTGTTAATAAGTATTGAAGGAAGTAAATAAATTAGCCAAGTTCGATCAAATGATTGATAAACAAGCGAACTACAACAATTTACAATCCATAAGAATAACAGGGGAATTTTATATGTACAGTAGAACCTCGGTTAACCGAGGTAATTGGGACCGAGGGTACCTCGGATACGGCGAACCTCGGATAACACGGAACGTAACCTAAAAATCGTTACCGGGGCTAATAATAGCTCAAGATATACTAAAACATGAACAAAAGTTATTAACTGAACTGTTGTTTAGTTTATTAGTACAAGAAATGTTATTAGTACGCAATAAAACGTGAGAGGAAACGGTAACACTCACAATACTAAACACTGTTTTAATATAACACTCAATTTATTGCACAACTGAATACGTATGATATAGGCTACACAATGTACAGAAGTTTAGTTACAGTACAGTATTCCTGTTTACAAAATTAAATCAAAGAAATGAAAATTAATTTACTGTACATTGTACAAAAATAAACAAAGTAAGCTAACCTTTTTTCCCAAAGAAATCAGTTATTGTTTTTTGACTTAGATTAGAGGATTTAGGCTAGCCGCCCTGTTGCGCCAGCGTCGCAGCCAAACTAAATCGTTTGTTGTTGCGCCCGGTTTCTTGTTGTTCAATGTATGCCAGTCACTGAGCTAAAATTATAACTGGAGGTAGCACTGCCATTGCAGAAGTCTGTCAAAAGCGTGTCGCTGATTTTGTTAGGTTGGTATAGCAGCAGGTTTTTTCATCCATAACATGGCTTCTATAACTAGGTTTGCATAGCAGTGAGTTTTTTCATCCAATAACATGGCTTCATTTTAACTCACACCTCACGCAAACATGGCGGCTGGCGACACGCATCTTTGACATTCAGTGCTACCTCCAGTTAGAATTATAGCTCAGTGATGCCAGTGCTCCCTCGATCATTCTTAGACCTTCTGTATGTGATATTTTCTCAGTCGAAACCATCAGATTCATCGCTGTTTAAAAAAATTTTGTCGAATCGGGGTGGTGGGGAGAGCGAGTGGCTCAGTTGCGTCTCGGCATTGAAACAGTTCGCATTGGTCCGGCGGCGAGCGGTGTCGGGTTACAACACCTGCAGCTGCTCTGGCGAGCGGTGTCGGGTGACAGTGCCGTATGCATTCGGCAAAGATAAGCGCTAAGCTACGCAAATATTTGGCCGAGGAAACACAACAGTTGCCAACATTTTACTGTACAGTAGTTTTAACGCATTGCAGGCTAGCGTGCGTATTGCGATAAAAGGAGCACCCAAACGCTCATTACTGTACGTAGTTTGTGCGTGTTTCTTTTGCTTTTTAAATAAAAAAAATCGTTCGAGGACGGCCTCGGTTAACCCGGAGTCTCGGTTAAGCGAGGCTCGGTTAACCGAGGTTCTACTGTAGTATGATTTCTCTGTAATCTTAACTTTACAACAACGGGTAACATACAAAATAATTTGTTTTTTAAGCTCTAAAAGATAGTTGTAATCAAAATTGGGCATTTTGCTGTTAGAAAGGTAAAAATAAAAAACTATTTTTTTTTAATTTCGTAGTATAATTTCTCTGTAATCTTAACTTTACAACAACGGGTAACATACAAAATAATTTGTTTTTTTTAAGCTCTAAAAGATAGTTGTAATCAAAATTGGGCATTTTGCTGTTAGAAAAGTAAAAATAAAAAACTATTTTTTTTTAAATTTCAAAACTAAATTCTTAACATTTTTGCAGACATATAAAACTTTATTGTCAGAATAGTATTTTGACATGGGTATTGGGTAGCCAGGTTTAACAACATTCAGTGTAGCACTGTAAAAAAACTTAATAACACTTGTTTAAATTGGCACCTGATTATCATCACACAACTGTGTTGCTTCTCCACATGTATTTTGGATGAGTTAATGACTATTTAAGTTAATACTTTTCAACCTTAAAAGTGTGTTTTTTTTTTAGATTCTAAGAAGCAAACTAAGTTTATTTTACTAAAAATAAAGTTTACCGGTAAGGAATATTCTGTGAGTCCATACAAAAAGAATATTGGAGGTTAACCTTTTTAAACGTTGGCTCAGACTATATTGGGTAAAGTATATTACTCAACTTCAAAAACAATAGGTTATTAATCTTAATTAAAAATGTTAAAACTTGGATTACCATAGCAGTTTAACTAAGCTGTGTAAGTATAACATGATGGGTCAAATGAGCAGATAGGCCAGATAACACAATCTAATGAAGCCAGAGCTCAGAATTGGCGAAGTAAACACAATAACATTGATCGTAATGATAACCACAACATACCTCAACATAAAACACTCAGCTGACTCTACCTCACATGCACTGACACTAATCAAGCTACCAATTTATCTTCTGTAATAAAAATTATGCACAATTACTCTGAACCAAGCTAAAAGCGCTCTGGCCAAGTTCACTAATTAATTTTGATTTTTATCAAACTGCATATTGACAAAGGACACAACTAAGAATTGAATTGAAATTGAAATTTTGAAATTGAAAAAGTGCTTTATTTACACAAAAATAAACTGCATAATACATATCAACTTATAACTAAACACAATCTTCTGCATAACGAGAACAAAATTACCTAACTAAAAATAGCACATTTCAGCAATGGTCATAAGACCGTCTGCCGGGTTGACAACATTTTCTTTTATACTAAGAATAGTTTGTTTCTTAATACAGAGTGGGTTACCCATGCACCATATTAACACAGTTTGCAAACACATCAAACAAGTTGTAATCTGCTTCTATTTACCACTAGCTGATAACTGGCTGTCATTGACTTAACATTGAACTTGCATTGATTAACATATTGAGCTTTTATCACAATGGGAGTAAAATTTGATAGGCTAAATGGAATTTAAATAAATGCTTGAACTTTTAGAACTTAACAAAAAAAAAACTTTAAAAATGAATAATATGTAACAACTTAAAAATTGTTTATGTTACTTTCCAAAGAAAATATTAAGAATTACAACTAAATTTCATATGGACCTAATTTTGCACTAATTTACTATGTTTGTTTAGTTTATAAAACAAATTGCTATTGACAAAGTGAAATATTTTAAAAGGCTAGTTAATTGTTTCCCACATAATAAAATAGTACCTGGGAAAAAAAACCTCAAAGGCTAAACACCCTAACCCTGCTGGTCTGTGAGGTGATCCAAAGAAACGTGACAGTTAACATCACATAAAGGCAATTTGGTGATCACAGTTATTAATGCCTACACATTTCCTGGATGGAAATGCCAACATTATTGGTAATAATACATATCTGAATGGGTTACTTACTTTTTGGCCACACCTCTGATACGTGTCTAGGAGCTTGATAGTGGATGCACGAATGAAGTTCTGAGGCACCGCTGTAGGGCTCTTACACTGCACATTACTAGCACGAGGTCTCAACGATCCAGCGTAGTCGCCCGGCCCATAAGTTTCGGACACATGTTCCAGTTTACGTTTCTTGTGAGCGACTTGAATACTCCCGCTACCGGCGCATTGGCTGGTCGTTTGTGTAAACATGACCCACAACACCTTTCCCTGCAAAGAAATTATCTGCAATAATTTTAATGGCATTAGTGTTTTTATATTTTTTTTAAGGAAACCCATAGAATTCAGGACATTAAGTTTAAAATTCCAACGAAATCAATCAGCCTAGAGGTATAGTTCACCCCAAGTTTCTGTGCGCGGACTAGATATGGTAAGGTGAGGGGGTTGGCGGGGGTACTTTGGTAAAAACATTTGTGTGTCTTGCTACTCACTCACCCATACCTATGGGTAGGCCACTGCCAATAACCGGTACCCGTATGTTTTAGTTATGGCTAGTAGCGGGATTTTTTGTATGATGACCCCCATGCCCTGATTGACAATGTGAGCAATAACAGAATATAGCCTATTTTGTTTGTTTACTTCTTTATTGCAGAATATAAAAGACAACAATTAGTACAGTAGGTATAATGTTAATTTATTCTAGTAGAGAAGCAGAATTATGAAACAAAATCTTACTACAGTTGAACCTCTATAAGACAAATTTCAAGGGGTACGGGAAAAATTCGTAGGCCTACTATAGAGGTATTCTTAATAAAGAGGGTCGTTTTATCGAGGTTTAATGCTGCTATTATTCTTCTTATAGAGGTTTCTCCAAACAATGACTGAGGAAGGAGGAGGGATGGGTGGGGGTTTCATGTTGAGACAAGCTTCTGTTTGTTATGAAAACTACGTACTATGGAGGTTAAGATTGTGATAAATTCGTCTTATAGAGGTCACGTTCGTCTTGTAGAGGTTTTGTGCTAAGAATATTTGTTGTATAGAGGTTAATCAGTCCCAGCCCATGTCACAAACAAATTCGTCTTATGGAGGTTTTTAACTTAATTACTACGTTGTATAGAGGTGTTTTTAGCATTGCCCTTTATGAAAGTGTCTTTCAAGGGGATTCAAAAAAAAATTTGTCTTATTGAGGCTAGACCTTATTGTCTTATTGTTATTTTATTTACGTTTTATCGAGGTTCGTACAAACGAGGTTCAACTGTACCACCATTCCATCCAGATATATATATATATATATATATTTCTGGAGGTAAAATTTACTTGTTAATCCTACTAAATTTACATTTTTCAAATCTTGTTTAAGATTAAGTTAGGGACAAGGTTTGAGTATGAGAAACAAAAGATAGATAAGGATGGTTTTACCCACCCGCGGCAGTCAATGCTTGCCAGGCGGCATTGGACACTTACAGCTCCAAGGTGGTGGGAGGAATAAAGAGCACAGTATTGAGGTTCTGACTCTAGAATTGATGAAATCTTGTCTAATGACTGAGCAGTGTTACCAATAATTGATGGCCCTTTTAATTTTGTGTACGTTCTACAAGTTAAGATGTAAAATATCCCCACTAGGGTAAACCAGCAGAATATGCGAATTTCAAATTTGTCTGATTGGATTTTAACTATATGATTCCATTAACAAGAAATAATTTCCCCCCATTGAAATAAGATTAGAATAAACACATATTTACGACTATTCACAGTTAGACCAATTAGTATATACTAAGGCAAGAATGTGGATTACACTATAAACTGTAGGTCCCTTAGTTGCCATTAGCTGTTTGGGCTATCAATTTACAGCTGTGTCTAAGGTAGTCTTGTTACAAGATCGCGCCACTCATCCTACACTCATCTCCATTCATACTTGGCTTAAAATATACCTACTTTGTAGGGTCGCCATTAATAAGAAAGTATAAAGTACTTAGGTGTGCACCTACAAAGAAGGGAAAGTGTTTTTGATAAAATGTTAATAAGTTAGCAAGAGATCTTTCGGGTGCAGTTTCATTTTAAGAAGGCAATTATCTTTGCATTAGATCGAGATGTGAAATTGCCCTCTAACTGGTTAAGAACTAATAGCCTAATGGTTCAATTCTGTCTCCAGTTCAAAATTAGAGTACCGCAAATAGTACCAAAATAGTACCATGATCAAAAATATCAAAATTTTTATAATCACTAGCCTATGTCGATATAGAAATCTGTAGATGATTTTTAATTTAAGAATATGATTGTTAACATCTTATAAAAAAGTTTACAAAAACTTATAACAGGTAGCCTGACAACACTACTGGACCGAATTACACGTGGGTTGTACCAAAAGAAAGGTTATCGGTCTTATGTGCAGGTTTTATTTGTATTTTGAGAATATTTATGTTAATTGGGTCAACAATGGAAATTCAACTTTTCTTATGGAGATTTAACATGGGGCTAATTCTATATATTAATAGACAAGCCTGTTTATTGAAAACCCTTTTTTCTCAGCTCCTGTGCATCGCAGGGAAAATCTACGCATACTGTTAGAAAGATATTTGCCTGTAGATGAGCAGAATCCCTAATAAATTAAAATAGGGTAAAAAAGAGCACTTAAAAAATAGCACAAAAAAATAAAAAATAAAATAGCATGGACCTTATGAGTTGCCATGTTGGTGACAAAATAACAACAGAAAATCAAAACAAATGGAAGAAATTCCAATTAGGCCTATGTTTTATTTACATCGTGGAGTGAAAATAGAGAAGTTTGCACAATACATACTTTTGGTCGAGTTTTCGACCATGGGGCAAGGTCTAGTTACTATTTGAAATTTGTTAATTATTTACATTTTATATTTTTAAAAGTAGGAAGGCCTAAATAAAAAAACCCCATTGATTTTCAAACATGTAAAACCAGGTACAATCATAGTAACTGATTTATGGAAAGCATATTTCAATCTTTTAACTATTGGATCAAAGATCAAACATTCACTTTACCGATAATGATAGCCTAAGTTACTACCAATTTCATAGATCCATTAAGTTAAGCAAATACTCGAATCTGTTTAATCCCCGTGGAGAGCTCTAAATGATCCCTTAAAAATCGAGCACAGCTTAACTTCTATTGTGTTTTAATTCGTTCTATAAAAAGTTCATATTTGTATTGATTAGGGGATATCTGATCTAGGACATGCTTCATATCTGATTGTTATTTTACCTTGTTTGTAAATTAGGTACTTTGAGTAACGGTACCTAACTTAATCAATTTAAACACAATTAGATTGTTAAAAGTTCGATGTCATTCGATAGTAACAATATGTTCAATCAATGTTATGGTATTCCAGATAAGAAACTGCACCCAATCTTTCTCTTCTGCCGCCAGACCTGACTCCGCTGCGTATCCGACGTCGTGTTGTAGAGTCGACGGGACCCAACCTCAATACTAATGGCTACTTGTGTGTATAATTACATTATAGATAGACTAAGCTAATCGTTTTAGTGATAAGAAGATTAATTAACAAGAACATCCTTGAAGGGGGCTACACAAAGTGGCAAAATCCATAAGGTGACACAAACAACTTAGGTAAGTTTACCTAATTACAAGAACTAAAGCAACAAAAACAAAAGTAAATCTAATACAAAGGCATAAAAAGTAGAAATGTTACAAAAGTCAAAACAGCTGAGCATTTAACATTGCTTTCCATGCCTAATATCAGATCTTTTTTAGGCAGATGAGGAAGGCAGGTCAAGCTTAATGCGGATTTGTGGCAACAATTAAGTCCTATGACGGTAGGTTTAGGCTTTTAGATTAAAGGCCTGATTTATGGCCTGAGGGTAGTGGTCACCGGAGGAGGGGTGGGGAATCGAGAATTCTGAATCCCGCCGGAGGCGTTAACTTGTTGTCAAAGATTTCGCTTAAGTTAGAATGTGATTACTTAAGTGTAGGCTACATCTTTTGTTATAATTTATAATTTTATGATCAGAACTATTTTTCTATTAGTAAACCTTTATTAAATTAATTTCATTATCAGCAAGTTTGGTTGGTTTGGTTAGGTTTTGATAGTTTAAGTTACCGAATTTTATAATTAAAAAATTATAAAATTTAATTTTAGGCATTTGTAATTACATTGTATGAACATAGGCTAACTATTTTTTTGATTACCGGTAGTAAAACTTCATTCGATTTTTCATTTTTATAAAGTTTGGTTAGTTTGGTTGGGTTATGACAATCTAACCTACAAACGATACGTTTTGACAACGACGGTGATACAGCTAACAATTTGCCGCGAATAGTTCGGCAATGCACGTTATGATGTGGAACCGTTCGACACCAACCTAGAACTGACAGGTCAACCGACCTTGATAAAGAGGATTACAGCCTGGGTCATGTGCCTACACCCTCTTAGCCTTTCCTTTGGATTTTAAGTTCAATAAGTTATCAGTGTATAACTCAATAGTTTGCGGTAAAATACTAAATGTTTTTGAACAATCGTAAATATCCCTTTGGTTAGGGAAGCTGTTGTACCCGGGACCCAATGTACCCAGGTCCTAGTGCTTATTACAACACCATCTGTTGAAGAAATTCTAAACTGTAACTAATAGTTTTTAGTATTGCCACCAGAGGTCTCAAAAACCCTCTTCTTTCTTACTTGCTGCCATGTGCTGAAGCCAGAGAGAAAAACACAAATTTTCAACTGCAAAACGTAAGTAATTTTTCAGATTAATATTACTTCATATTCTTTTAGTGCTATAAATTTGATCTGAACAAAGGATCTTCTGGGTAAAAGGATTTATTCAGGATTAATTTGATATGCATAACATTGGTTCTGACATAACCTCAAAGGCAGTATTCACTCTTTTAAATTACAAGTACAGAAGTTGTACCCAGGACCTATTGTTGACGTTGTACCCAGGTCCTATGTCCTGGGTAAATCACTTGCTCCTAAGGTTGTGTTTGAAGAATACTTTTTTGCAATTCAATTACTAGTAATTATTTATGTTATGAAAAATTTTTGTGTTTTAATTCCACAAATAATGTTAAGTAGGCATTTATAAAGATGTTCCTGTTACTAGACAAACAGGGTTAGGCCTAGTATTTTACTTTGTTTTTGCAATGGATATGTGACACTGTGAGAAACTTAATAAATAAACTGAACTAATTTATTTATTTAATTTTTTAATTGTTGTTTCAAACAACTAGGCCTAATAAGGTATTTTCTGATTTCAGGTTAAGCCTACTGCAACCATGCCAAGAAATAAAGATGGAAAGAAAGATGATCCCGTTAATGAAGTTGATTTAGCTGTAGCAGTTGAGCGCATCGCAAAGGGTGAACTGACATACTACAGAGCCGCAAAAGACTACAACTTGTCAAAAACAACTTTGATTAGACAGGTGAAAAAGTTCAAAATTCAGGTGAGCTGAGTTTTCAATACCACCATAATCGAGACAAAAAGAAGGTTTTTAATGAAGCCGAAGAACTACAATTAGTTGAATACATAGAAACAGCGGCTTATCTCCATTACGGATTAACACTGAAAGACATAAAAATATTAGCTTATGAGTTTGCAAAAAAAAAAAAATAAGAATTACGATAAATCTTGGGATGAGAACGGCATGGCAGGTGAGTTCTGGTTAAGATTCTTTCGGTCAAAGTACAGTGATGGCATATCCCATATCCCTGAGAAAACCCGAAGCCACTAGTTTGGCGCCTGCCACAGCATTCAACAGAGCAAACGTTGCTACTTTTTTTTTGAAAATTTCTGACTTCCACAAAGAATTTGGAATTGCGATGAGACTGGCGTAACTAATGTTCACGCGCCAAGCAAAGTCGTAACAAAAAAGGGGGTCAAACAACTAGGTGCTATGACCAATACAGAGCGTGGCACCAATGTAACAGTGATAGCAGCTATTAATGCTGGTGGAGGTTACATCCCCCCTATGATAATATTTCCCAGGGTAAATTACCGTGATCACATGATCAAAGGAGCTCCAGTTGGTAGTATCGGAGGCGCCAATCCCTCCGGATGGTCAAATGAAGAGCTTTTTGTTCAATTTCTCTTACACTTTATAAAGCATTCAGGTGCTAGTATTGAGAATCCAGTAATTTTGCTGCTTGATAACCACGAGTCACATATCTCAGTTGCAGCTATTCAGACAGCAAAAAGCAACGGTGTAATAATGGTTACCTTTCATCCGCACACCTCACATAAGATGCAACCATTAGATGTAGGTGTTTTCGGCCCCTTCAAAACGTTTTACAACAAAGCAATGAAGGACTGGACGACCAGACCAGAGAACGTTGCTAAGCCAGCTACTATCTATGACATTCCTGAGCTAGTCAATCGTGCCTTTTTAGAAGCATTTACACCCAAAAATATCTTGGCTGGTTTTGAAAAAAAACTGGAGTATCGCCTTTGAACTGTGACATTTTTAGTGAAATCGACTTCTTGTCTAGCAGTGTAACCGATAGACCCCAGGAAGACCCACCTAATGATGATGTTCCAGCTCTGCTGTCACCTTCCACGTCTACCTGTTCGGCACCTCCAGTTGAAACATCAACCACTTCTGCTCAGTCAACCAGTGGAATACTTTCCCATTACACGATGGTCCATCATCCAGTAGGCCTAACACACCAGCAGCAAAAAACTCTTTATAAGGCTTCCTGCCACCAACAAAATTTTCTCCAGAGGAAATACGACCTTTTCCAAAAGCTGCACCTCGAAAGCTGACCAGAAAGGGCAGGCCCAAAGGAAAATCTTGTATTGTAACAGATACGCCAGAAAAAATCGTATTGAAGCTGAAAAAAATGCAAGAGCAGCAAACAAGATGAAAAAATGTGATAAAAAACAGCATCTGATTAAACGTAAAAAAATGCAAAAGAAGCTGTTTTTTTATGACTCAGAATCAGACGTAGATAATCCAGAAAAAATCATGAGCAGCTCAAGTTCAGAGGATGAAACAAATCAGCAACAAAACAATGTTGCAATTATAGTGGCGAGTTTTGTTCCAGTTCAAATCACTACTACAAGGAAGGACAAAAAGTACTTTACAGCAGAGGTGAATGAAGTTCATGACGATCACTACAAAATTAGCTACTTGAAGAAGCTTCAAGATTCGTTCCAATTTATTAGAGCTGATGACACCAGTTATGATGTTGACAAAGACGATGTGCTTCTCAAGTTACCACCACCAAAAATCAAGGGAGGAACAGCAAAGCAGCTTGTAAACCTGACTTTTGGAGTCAACTTATCAACATTTAATATGGAATGAAATGTTAATTAAGTTTCATAGAAGTTTGAAGAATTTTTGAAGCCTTTGCTACTTTTTTATTAGGCCTATCATTAACTTTAATTCATTAACTATTAAAGTTTATGTAATTCATTCAAGATATCATAATTCTTAAAACCAAAACCAAATAGGGTAAACTGAATAAAAACATAGTTTTGACATTTACTTATGAACCTAGCCTACTTTTAAGTTTACTTTTATGACTATTGAAAAACTTAATTTCACATTTTACTAATATTTCACAATCAGGACCTGGGTACATCAGGTGTAGGACCTAGGTACATCGTGGTGTTGTACCCAGGTCCGATTTGTCTTAGTTTACAAATTGTAATGAAACAGTTAAAATTGTTGAGTTTCGGTTACAAAAAGTGCAGAAGAGTAGTAGTTATCAGTAGGTAATATAACTAACCTTAACTTTTGAGTACAAATCAAAATAAAAAATTAAAAGCTGAATTAGGTCCCGGGTACACAGCTTTCCTAATACATCATAGGCTACTGCAAATGTATTATATTTAAGCAATTCTCATTAGCAACTTATTGCAATTGAAGGAAATCGTATGAGCCGTTTTTTTTAATCATCGTGCGCAAACTTTACTCATATTGTAGCCTATAGATAAATAACCAAAATGTGTCATTACAAAATCCTTTAAAACATCTAAGTTAAATCCAACAAACAGCTAACTACTACGAAAACTATGTAAGTTAACACGTTCACTGCGCTACAAGATCCCGAGGTCTTGTATCGTACCTAGCCCGTAGTGCGGGACCCATAATTTGACTTCTTTCCAAAAATTACGACATCGATATTTCGGCGTACAGTTATCGTAAAGAAATGAAACTTGTACATATATAACGCATTTTTCTTGGTGTAGCCTATCAACTAGTAAATATAAAAGAACAAGTCGTAACGCACTGAAGTAATAAACTTTTACTTGATTACGATACGAGACCGTATCAAAAATAGTTGTTCCTAGCACTACATGAGGCTAATGGGGTGATTAGTAACCATGGTAACCTTTGTCGAATGCTTGGATGAAAGAAGGAAACCAAAGAAATAATTCAAGAACAAAGAGAAAGAATAATGGCGCTTTTATGCTGTTATTTTTATGAGTAATCTAATGTTTTATAGGTTTAAATATTTATCGTTTTCAAATACGGGAACATAAATCTTGTTTAACTATCGACTTGTTTCTCTTTTAAAACAGCACTAACGGATGCGTATTAAAGGTCACTGTAAACCCTAGAGCTGGCAGTCATTTTACTCTGTAGTGGCAAGGGTTTTTTAGGTGCCGCGCAACCATTTTTTAAATCACTTAAAAAAATATATAAATAACCCAGAAAACACATTATATTATGTATCATTTTTTTCAGCAAAAAACAAGGAATAATATTATATAAATTTTAGATATGAAATTTTAATTTACAAAAAAGGTTTTTTAGTATATTTACTAAGCGTAAACTTTTTTTATTTATATTCATATATAATTACGTACCGGGTAATATAACACAAATCAATTAACTCATGAAAATTTTTCAAAATATACAAGTTGTGCAGAATTCCATGAGGAAAAGAATGATATATAATACATGTACCTTGTTTCTAAAAAAAATACATACTTAACAGTTTTTATTACCATATACATATTCGGTGTAGTACTAGGCCTAGTACTTGAATTGCATGTCTCCTCGCTACCTACTTAGAATCGGAACTTACTAGATCGGTCACAGTAGTTACATTCATTCATCTTGAAGTGAAATCAACTCACATTTCAATAAAAAATAAAACTTAAATAATGAAAAAACACCGAAACTAACCAAACACAACACGAAATAAACAACAACAGACGCTGGTAATAGGCAATTGCGTCACCATGACAATGTCGTCAGCTGATGCTTTATTTTCATAGTTTTAAATTTTCCCATAAAGGCGTATAAATAGTTGAAAAGCACATCAATTGACAGATTATTCATTTCTGAACCGAATAAAATACTATATTAAGTGAATTTTTTTTCATTTTCGTGCAAAAATCGGCGATTTCCGTTACGTTGTATCAGGCGCTGCCGTTTCGGCCGCGGCGTAAATCGCCCGATATCGGGCGCATGCCAGCTCGAGGGTTAAAAAATGACCTAAAATATCACGATTGTGCAATGTTGTATTTTGATGTACCCTACAGTAAAAAGCAAATCATTACATTAATTCGAATATTTCTCCTGGTCCCTAAATTATACAAAAATCAATGCTAAATAATCGTCAAACCGGACAAGCAATTTCCGATAAACAACTTTGTATCATTGGTTTTTGTTTTTGCGATTGGAATCCCTTTCCCAGCCCTTAAGGGAAGTAGTGCAAGTCTAAATATAGCTTCAAGGTTGCACCCATCCCTTCCCCCCGCCCACTCGACTCACTGTTGGCACGCACTCATTTCGAGGTCATAGCCCAACCCCAAAATTATAACGAAATAAATACAGTAATTTGTAAACATATTTCATTTAGCCTGAAATCAGCCGTAAGGAAGCGCATTCATATAAAAAGTGATAAAAGAAAGATAAAATATATTTTTTATAACGGTTACGATTTTAAGGAATTCGGAAACAAACAGATACTTAGGCCTAACATATATTTTTTTTAAATTTGTTATTGTAAGTTAGGAAAAGAATAGGGACAAATAAATAATGAACTATTACAGCTGTGCGGTACGAGATCTCGGGGTCTCGTACAATGACGTCTGGTATTTAAACTTCCTGGGCTGGCTGAAGATTGTCAACATTGTACTGGTTCAGATAAACAAACTCAGCGCTCTCTCGCCTTTCTTTACGAGGTTATGATGTGCACAAGATTAGGCTACTGCGCAATGTAATCTCGGGGCCTCGTATCGCGGGTACAGTTTCTTAACTGGGCTGTATGCTAATATCGATTGAAACTATCGATTCGATTAGTAAACCTTTAAGCGATTTTTTCACCATCAGCAAGTTTGGTTGGTTAGGTTAGGTTACGATAGTTTAATTTTATAATAGATATATTTAAAAATATCGATTATTAATCAATATTTTCAATTCAATAGTTTCAATCGATATTAGCATAGCCCAGTTAAACTGTACCCCGTATCACACCTGGGTAATCATAGCGGACGAGAACTATAGATCTCGTAGGTGACGCACCATTGGAATAATGCTGGAAGATATAACTACAACGCAGTGAACGTGTTAACTACCTTTATTTTCTATCAGTTAACTTACTGTAGTCCTACCTTTTAAAAAATAGATAGGTAACTAACAACTTCTATCAGTTACTTTTTACGGGACCAACTAATAACTTCTAACTAGGTAGAATCTTTTACTAACTTTCCCAACTATGCTACTTGCCACCATATTGAACCATGATATTTAACATAAGTTAAAGGTCAATATTTAGTCTAAAATAATATCATGAGGGGCTATTTTAAGTAGCCATGATCTATTAGGCTACTGCAAGTCCACAAAGCTTAAAAGATTAAGATTACTAAACCTGAGAAAATAGATTACCAAATAACATAAAAAGAACTAGGCCTAGGCCTAGTTGCCCCGTATGCCAAAAATAGGCCACCATTACAAGGCAATAAGTACCCAACTCATAACCATAACCAGACAAGTATTTTACTGGGAGTTGGGTTATACAACGCTTCAGTTTTGTAGAGCGAACATTTAAAATAGTTTAGCAACGTAAGTTTTACCAATTTAATTTATTTCTACAGTAGCCTAATCTAAGTAGTTATGAGCGAGGACATTTGCGTAATTGGATATCCCCAACTGCGACGGAACGGTGTCAACATACGGACTAAAAACAAATGGGTTTTCATGCACTAGGTGGTTTTAAAAAGGTAGCATACCGGACAAATTGAGCTTAAAAACTATTTTGAGCCTTATATTACCTTATTCGCTCCGTTTTCGCCCGTGAAAACACAACTTTCATACTGTCCGGAACAAAGACGAGGTCGCTCAGATTACTGCCATCTTGAAAGAAGACACGGTCGTTCTATGGAATAGTCCACAGCGATAATGCTTAGACAACACACACAAATCACCACTGTTTAAAGAAGTACATAGTTAAAAAAATGTATTATTTCGGGTTGGGTAATATATGTATTACCCTGCAATTACACTAGCATTTCACATCATTCTTACTACACAAATCCTATTCAGTAGACAACACCAAATAATCCACATCGTTCGTCCATCTTCGCCTACGTTCGGAAATGGTCGGGTCGTCTCGGGTCTGTACCTGTACCATTGCGATTGATACTGCTGGTATTGTATCGTATCGGTATCGGTTGTTCCGATATTTACTTGGTATCGATACCAAGAGGCCAGTATCGTATCGGAAGGAAATATCTGAATCTAATCCTAATCTGAGTCAGTCAAATGGCCACGCTCGTTCGTGCCTTCTGCTGACCGATTGTTTTCCAAGGCTGGAACAACAGTGACCCAAAAATGAAAGACTTTCATTCAACCAAATATTCAGTTTTTTGTCTAGCGGCTTGTCTGATGATAATGTGGTTTGAGTATTAGTTATTTGTGCAACTAGTGAGCGATTGCACTTTGCTGCATTCGAGTTGCACATTATATTTTTCTTACCGTTACCATAAAACAAATAAATTGGTAAAGAAACATAGCATATTTTTACACAGAAGTGAACTTTTAATATGGCATTTAATGTGAAGTAGCAACAGTACAACAGCTGACCAGCTGATTTACAGCCAGTGCTGCCAACGTATTTCGCGCGCATACGACCTTGTCTTGTCTTACGCGCTCATTAGTTCGTGCCTTCCTTCATGTTGCAAATCTGGAGTGAGACAAAGTAATTAGAGTGAGGCAATGTTAACATTGTCTCACTGATGGGCGAATTGGCCACTTTGCTTTCTCAAATCAGTGATAGAACATTGTTAGGTATTTAGGAAAAATTATGATTCACTATTCATTCATAGAACTTTACATAATATAAGTTAACGTGATAGTCAAAGGTATAAGTAAAACTTAAGGATTGGGTCGCATTTAGTTGCAAAGGGATTTTTTATTACAACCCAATATTAGCTACGTTGTGTTTGGCAAATAAAATGAAACCATGGACTATTTTAACTTCGAATTAAACTAATAATGATGACACTTAATCGTTTTTAACAACATCTTGTTTCAATTTAGGCTGACGGTAAACACAAATGTGTGAGTATGTTGGTAATGTAATCAAATTGTCTATTAAAAATAGATAGGCCTAGAACATAAGGTACTTGAACTTTTACTTGAAGATAGAATTGAAAACAAACCAATAAGGTTAAATTAGGTTTGGTTAATTGTTATCAACTTTTTACATAAATTAGTAAATAGTAGTTCTTAGCAGCTCGAATCCTATATTGGCTGTACTGTACTGGAGTGAGTGAACTTTAAACTTTTGAGTTAACTTTAACCATAGCTTTAACTTTACATCAGTGAATCAGAATATGAGGTCACTGGTATCGAATGGATACGATACTGACTGTATCGATACTTTAGTTCCGATACTGAGCTGGTATCGATACTTTTTTGCTATACACTATACAGTATCAATACCAAATATCGGAAGGACAGTGGTATCGCAATCGCAACATCCCCATCCCTACTCTGCTCTGCTGGTCTAGTCTTTTGGCTCTTGGCTTGATCGGTCGTCGTCTCGTCGTCTTACGTCGTCATGATTTGCTTTGCGTTCCGTTCCCCGTTCCATGAGGGTTGATGCTTTGGGTACAAGCAAAGGCATACACTAAAATATACAATTGCTATAACAAGTGTTATCTTTTAATTTTCATCAAAACATTAGTCCAATTAAAAAGAATGAAAAATAAATTCAAAATTTCATTTTCTGGTGTTATTATGAATGATTTTGAAATAATGAATAATTTTAAACGTATTTTTCAATATTTTATGTAGCCTACAATATGACTTTTACAATTGTATTTTTATATGGCTGACCAAGTGTCCCTTACTTTACTACTGTGGAGCCTCATGGTTAATGACATGGACATCATGCTGAAGAGCCTGAATGCGGGCGGAGTCTCAAGCAGAACGTTAGTGGGCATGTTTGAATAAACAGTGTTCAAAAGTGCTTTTTGATGCTCTTTTCTCTTTGGGAAGCTTGAGAAGAGAACTAGTACAGTACCACCGGTCTGGCACCTCAGTGAGTAGGGCGGATAGGACAAAGAGACGTCACTTGGGGCGTTTTTTTTTTTGCCATGCCCTGGACGTTTTTTATACCGAGAAAAAGTCCGGAACACGAGGATATTTTTTTAAGCCCCTTTTTTAAAAACCCTGATCTTTGCCTATACACCCCTATACAAATGTTCCATACTACTGTACAACTCCAACATTTCAAATTCCTATATATTTTCAAATACCAACTCTTTTACTATTGTCCTAAGCTAGTGTATGTGTAAACACCATCTATAATTTCCAAATGAAACTTAAAGTCTTTAATTTTCTTTATGAAACATTTTTTTTAATCAGTATGTACATAGGGTCTAAAGTTACATTTTGACTCTTTAGGGAGTAAAAATCGTTTGTAGCTTCTATGGAGTAAAAATCAGCTGTTGTGAACTCAGTTGTAAATTTATATTGTAAACAATTGCATGTATCAAAATATGTATAGATTCATGCTTTGTAATCATTTTAACCTACAGTCTACAGTCTCTCCCCATAGCATTTTAGCATTGCAGATACATTAATCCATTCCCACACTCAGAACTGCTCACCTTTACTACTTGCTTCACCACCCCCTACGTCGTGGACATGTTTCCCTCTCTTCCCATAGCATTTTAGGATTGCAGATACATTAATGTAATTGCCAAAGACAGTTCCCACACTCTGCACTGCAAGCCTTACTACTTCCTTCACCATTTCCTACATCGTGGGGCCTGTTTCCTTCCCTTCTCATAGCATTTAAGTATTACATACATCTATCTAACTAACCAAACGGTCCCCCCACTCTATTGCCAGCCTTTACTACTTCATACACGACTTCAGGCAGACAGCCTTTCTCTTCCTCTTTTTAAGTCAAAAATTCATAACTGGCTCATAGCTAACCCATTTTACTCAGTTAAGGACTTCATTAATTATAAAATTAAAGCCGAATCTTTCATACTGTAAATCAAAAACTCTCAATCGTTATTCTTAATTTTTGTTATCTATAGATATGAACATGTTTAGTGATATTTTATTTAATGTAATTTGACAATGCCTATTCCTATGTACAACTTGGTCAATGGCAATAAACTTTCTTATTCTTATTCTTATTCCTACGTCGTGAGGCCTGTTTCCTTTCCTTCTCAAAGCATTTTAGGATTAAAGTTACATTAATCTAACTGCCGCAGACGGTTCTCACATTTTGCTCATACTTTACTACTTCCTAAGCCACTTCCTACATTGTGGACCTGTTTTCATCACTTTCCCATAGCATTTTAGTATTTTAAATACGTTAATCTAATTGCCACAAACATTCCCCACACTCCGCACTGCTAGCCTTTACTACTTCTTTCACCGTTTTCTATGTCGTGGGGATGCTTCCATCCCTTCTCATAGCATTTCAGCATTGCAGATACAGATACATTCATCTAACTGCTACAAACGGTTTCCAGTTCCCACACTCCACACTGCTCACCTAACTACTTCCTTCACCTCTTCTTATTCCACCTCTTCCATCAAGGAAACAATTGTCTGGGGTGCGCAATATTTCGATTTTTCGGATAATGTGCTATGGTCTTTGCCTGCCCCTGTTAGATAAAATAAGATAAGATGGTCCTTACAATTCGAAACAAAATAGTGCGACCCCTAATTGCTCTAACATTTATGGTTCAAGTTATTGCAGCTTGTGTCATTTATCTCTGTAAAATATCACAGTTAACCCCATGATAAAGGTTGTTGACAGCCTATTCCTCAACAAAGGGGGAAATGCGAAGGGGCGTTTGTAAATTTCGTTTCGCATCTTATTCCTTGTTCCTTTGTTAATGCACTAACAATTAACAATTGGATTTGTTGATCTGTATCCAATAGTCAATGATAGCACTAACACATGTTAAGGTATAGGAATAGGTTAAGAAACGTTAATGAATTCTGCTCAATTGCTGATACCGTATATTTGTTTTAGTTTGAACCACCACGATCTGGTTTTGTTTCTAGCCTCACTACACTACTCAAACCAAGTACTCAAACTAAACAGGGATCAGGGAACAAATAGAACAAAATCTAATTTCAACTCAACCAGAGTCGGAGTGTTGTCATGCCACCAAACACACACACATTATCCGGTCCGGAACACGGGAGATTTTTCAGGCGACGTTATGACGTCATCATTAGTGCAGAAGACCGCCTGTTAGAGCCGTTTACCGCTTGTCTCGACCGAGCAAGGAATCTTTTACAAAAATATAAGCGTAATCGGACGAGCAATTCTGAACTCACCCTACCTTGGAACTTTATAGGGACTTACTAACTTACTTTATAGGGAAGAAGATTGGAAGATTGCTAGGGATAAAACTTGTGCACGGCCGACTTTAACTCCAGGCCGCGGCCTTCAAAGTGGCAACGTCGCAAGTAGGGTTGTTACAGCCGTTTTGTTTCGAAGCAGCTAGTGTTATTGCTGGTGTATTTACGAAAGCTTGGTTACTGGACTATCAAAATACAAGCTGCTATACCCGTGCTTTGCAACGGGAAGAAAATGTGACCTGGAGAGCTATTAAAGTGGTGCTTATGTGCGTTTTAAAATAAAGCAACTCTATGATTTAATTTGAAAATATAAACTGATTTAAAAGCGTAAACCTATTTACTTTCAAACCCCTACCATTGATGTTAATAGATCCATATGATATCATACCTTAGTGTAGCAATAGCATCATGCTTCAAGATACAAGATACAAGATACAAGATACAAGAATACTTTATTTACAATCTTTAAGATTGAAAGGGCGTCAATACAGAATTGTGCAATTGCTTTATAAAAGTCAAAACAAATTGTTATTTTTTAAGAATAAAAAATAGCTGATCAGAGTTCTTGCAGTGATGATTTATTCAAGTTCTTGCCAAGACAAATACTCATTCAGACTATAAAATGGTCTATGTAACAGCCAGCACTTTAGTTCTTTCTTCAGTTTTCTGGGTTGAAGAGACTTCAAGTGGACGGGAAGGACGTTAAAAAACTTGGCACGCAAGTATGAGGGTTTCTCTTCATAGAGCCTTGTGTTGTGAGCAGGA